AAGTTGTGTGTTACCAATTCATTTCTTTTCCATACCTCAGGATGGTACATGTGTCCAGAAATACAGGCCAAAACCAACAGATTTATCACAGTCTTAATGACAGCTGGCTGCATGCTGAGTGAATTCTTAAATTCCCTGAAACTACGTTTTTGCCAAAACATGTGGAGTTGCAGCATTCTACATTTTATTGGGACTGTTATCTCCAAATGAAGAATGATTCCACTGGAAAAAATTATTTGGTATCAGCTGCAGACCTATTTTTAGCTTCTTGTTTGGTGAAACTTCAGAAAACATAATTAGCCATATGTTGAGAAATGTTTGCCAAGTCTTAAATTTGATTTTTTGCAAACCATATTAAAATACTACCTTGTCTACAATTTTACGCTGTTGGAATCAGAAGACATGGTGGGCTTTTTATGAGAATGTGATTCTTCATATTTCTTTGAGTAAATATTTGTGTTTATGAAGGTTGTAGAACTGGCAGTACTAAAGACTGAAATCTTGCATTTGTTTATATGGGAAGGTCTGTGCTGGCAACAGTACTGGAATCATCCCCTACTTCTGTCACTTACGGACTTCAAGCCTTGCATTGGGGTGATGGTGTTCTCAGAGGCAGAAGACTAGAGCAGGTCAAAAAAAATGCATTTTCCCCCACAAGTATTTGTAGCGAAACCAGAACAAGATTACTTTAATCAAAACATGTACAGAAAATGTTAAGATTTTGTCAAAAATAAGAGTTTCTACGTGAAAACCATTTCTTTTCCAAAGAAAACCTAAATAAACTGTCAAGTTTCAAATTGGATTAAAACAAATTGAAAGATTAAATCATATCTGGCTAATTCCTGGCATGGAATTATAGTCAGGTGCCTCATGATACCATTATGTCCTCTGAACCACAATTCCTGTTTGGGCTACTTTTCTCATAATACAATTACAATTGCTCCCCAGGAAGTTTCCTGTGAAATGAAGTCCAGTGTTTGCTGCCCTGAAAAGGCAGTTTGGACAATGTGAATAGAATAAATGTCACCTTGCTATTTCTATTCATAGAAGAAAAAGAAAAGTCTTTTGCTATAAGAACGATAAGACTGGATTTTTATTTTTCTGGCAGAAGGAGAAGTTTGCTTTGGTTCCCCTCTGACTACAGGTGGTCTGGTTCCAACTTCTCGTTCTTTCATAAAGCTGACAAACAGAAGGATGGGCTTTCTTACAATATTGTGCGCCATGTCATGGATGGAGCGGATGTATATTGAAGGCTAGAATGAAGGGAAGGGCGCTCATGTGGGACAGTTCCACACTGCTGGCTGGCCCAACAAATCTTGCAATAAAAACAGGGCTTTTGCATCCTCAGTGCTCTCTGTCCCAGCTGTACTGAGAGTAGAATGTAGCTAATTGGAAGTCAAGCCTCTTGGCTATAATAATTTAAAAAACAGTCCCCGTATTATTCTGTTTCCACATATTTGTATTGACTGCAAGCTGTTATCTCTCTGTTCGATCTTACTTTCATTGACTTGTTTGCCTTGCTGTTTTTCTGTTGACCTCATTGCCACTTGATAGAAATGTATGCAAAACATTTAGATTGCAGCTTATCTCTATAGCAAGGCTAAAGAAAGAAAAATGTTGCTACTAAAAACATGTATTAATAGGATAGAGAACTTGTATGTCTCATTTAATTTCAGTTGATTCTTGATGATTCTTATATTCTCACTACCAGAACCATTTTTTTAATGACAGTGGCATTGCCTTTTGCATCTCACAGTGCTTAAGAAAGGGAGTTTCTGAGCCCTTACACAAAGGTGCATGTATAGATGGATATCTGAGGCACCTAAGGTAATGGTAATTAATACATTAAGACGGATCTCAAGATCGCTACAGATCGTTTCATAACTGTCTCATGTCTCAATATTGAGTAACATCACCCTGTGTGATACAGCATGACAGAATACAAAGATATATCCAGAATAGCAAAAAGCAATTTGAGGAAAAAAAATGGTACATTTAATCATATTTTGCTGAGTATTGACATCAACTGAGTTGTAATATAAAGCTTTCCAAAGCACAAATAGCATGAATGTTGATCATTTAACTGGGTTTTTATTGGTAAAAGTTATTAATCAAGGTGGTTTTGTCTATAGTTACAGAAATCAAGAGCTTATTTAACTGAATGGTTTTTTTAGTTGAGTGTTAGTACAGCTGAGATGGAGGATTTGTTTGTTATATTTTAGTTCTTTCAGTTAACCTGTTTCCCAGTAGCCAAAAGTTTTCTTAATTCTACAGATAACTTTAAGTACAGAACAGTTAATGGTTTAAAAAGAATTAATTGAAAAGAATAAAACTTCCTGTGCAGAGAAACAGGAATCTGCAATATCTGGTTTATGGACAAGTAAGTAGGGTGTTTTGTTTTGTTTTCTAAAACCATTCAAAATAACATAATTTGGCTCTTATACTGCAGTGTATTGCATATAATACTTATTCTACCATGCTACCGAATCTTTATGAATTATTCTCATAATTCCCAAAGAAGTTTAATTTTTCATGGTTCTTTGGTGCTCATGGAACAGTGCAATTCTCATGACCTGTGAATTTAAATGGGTTTTCACATTCTCCAGTTAAACATTTGGCAGCTTTTAATCACTTGATTAGCTTACTCTTTAAATCTCCCCTTGTAAGCAAAAGCACTTTTTTAATTCAGAATGCATGCTAATATAATTTATATAATCACAGGTCTGGGGAAAAAAAGTAAATCCAGCACGGATTTTTTTTTCCCCCCCTGGTATCCAGATGTATTGCTTAGTAAACAATATTAACAAGACTCTGCCTAGAAATTGTTTTAATTTGAAAACTTGAAAGATGTAATCCCATCCTCCCTCAGAACACACATACTGCTGAAATTGCACATTTAGGGTTATGTTTTTCCTTTATTGGTTCCATTAATATCTATGAATAATGGCTTCCCATGTGGTAATCTAATTATCATTTGAAATAATTGGTGAACTAGAACAATGTCATAGGTCAAGGAGGAAATTAATAAAAGAAGGGTAAAGGTGAATTATATGAAGCATGGGACCCTAACTAGGAATAATGAGATAATGAAATTAAGGAATTTTGATCGAAGACCAGTGACTCTACACAGTGAGTGCAAGTACTCACAAGAAGGGCTGGAAAGAGGATCCAGGGAACTACAGGCCTGTCAGTCTGACCTTGGTGCCGTGGAAGGTTAGGGAGCAGATCATTTTGAGTGCCATCACGTGGCACGTACAGGACAACCAGGTGATCAGGCCCAGATGGCGTGGGTTTAGGAAAGGCAGATCCTGCTTGACTGACCTGATCTCCTCCTATAGCAAGATGACCCACCTTGTGAATAAGGGAATGGCTGTGGATGTTGTCTACCTAGACTTTAGTGAAGTCTTTGCCACTGTTTTCCCCAGCATTCTCCTGGAAAAACTGGCTGCTCATGGCTTGGATGGGTGTACTCTTTGCTGGGTAAAATACTGGCTGGATGGTTGGGCACAAAAAGTTGTGGTGAGTAGAGTCAAATCCAGTTGGTGACCGGTCACAAGTGGTGTTCCCAGGGCTCAGTACTGGGGTCAGTTCTGTTCAATATCTTTATCAGTGGCCTGGACAAGGGGGTCGAGTGCACCCTCAGTCAGTTTGTAGACAACACCAAGTCGGATGAGAGCGTAGATCTGCCTGAGGGTAGGAAGGCTCTGCAGAGGGATCTGGACAGGCTGGATCGACGGGCTGATGCCAACTGTATGAGGTTCAACAAGGCCAAGTGCCGGGTCTTGCACCTGGGTCACAACAACCCCCTGCAACACTACAGGTCTGGGGACAAGTGGCTGGGAAGCTGCCTGGGGGAAGAGGACCTGGGGGTGTTGTTCGACAGCTGGATGAATAGGAGCCAGCAGTGTGCCCAGGTGGCCAAGAAGGCCAAAGGCAACCTGGACTGCATCAGGAACAGTGTGGGCAGCAGGACTAGGGAAGGGATTGTCCTCCTGTACTGGGCACTGGTGAGGCCACACCTCAAATCTTGTGTTCAGTTTTGGGCCCCTCACTGCAAGACAGATGCTGAGGTGCTGGAGAGTGTCCAGGGAAGGGCAATAGAGTTGGGGAAGGGTCTGGAGCAGAAGTTCTGTGAGGAGTGGCTGAGAGAGCTGGGAGTGTTCAGCCTGGAGAAGAGAAGGTTGAGGGGAGACCTTATCGCTGTCTACAACTCCCTGAAAGGAGGTTGCAGAGAGGTAGGGATTGGTCTCTTCCCAAGTGACAGGACAAGAGGAAATGGCCTCAAGTTGTGACAGGGGAGGTTTAGGTTGGATGTTAGGAAAAATTTCTTCACTCATTTCTTTACTTGGCTATCAGGCATCGGAACAGTCATACGGATGAGGTGCTGAAGGGCATGATTTAGTGGTGGTACTGGCAGTGTTAGGTTAATGGTTGGACTTGATCATATTAAAAGTCTTTTCCAGCCTGGAAGATTCTATAATTCTGTTGAGTAGTAGAACTTGCAGAAGCTCTAGCACATGGGATATTTCAAACTGAGCTGGATGAATACAAAAAACTGGACTGAAGGGAATCGATTCTTAACTGGCAAAGAGGTGGACTAGATGACCTAATCTCTCATTTCCACTGCTAGCACCTATAAATCTGTTTGAACAAATACTTGGAATTCTGTATGTCTTCTAGCCTTGCTTGGAATTCTTTTGTGACTAGCAGCAGGAGATCTTTATCCCGTGAAAGTGCTTGACAGTAAATAGTTTCATTTTCAGTCTTTCCTATTTAACAAATTTAAATCTCAGGATATGTAGAGCTAAATTGTTCCTACTTGTTTACTTTCAGTAGTGAGAAGGAAACAGCTCAGAAAACTGCTTGTCCTGTGGACCATAAAAAATTCCCTTAAATTGGCCAGAAGCAACAGGGCTTATGAAATGGTGGGAAATCAGCAATGACTTCATTGTTTTTTGACATTTTGAATGCTAACTATTCACATTTTGTGTCTTTTACAGACCATCTGAAAGGAGTAATAACCCAGAGGCACATTCAGAGGGCAGCTCTAGGTAAGAGTAGAACATTTCAGATACAGTACAGCTCTGCAACAAGCTCTCTCCCAGGTCTGACTGTACTTGTGGGGCAGGTTATATTTTCTATTTCAGTTTTTTGCCACTATTGTGGCATTTTCTACAATAGTCCATACTGCAAATAACATGGACTCTGAACTTTGCCAGAGATTTGTCTCAAAAGGCATCTGATTTTATGTGTAGTGAGTAAACAAAAAGGTCTTAATAGTTTTGGGAGTTTGGTATTAAATTTCTTTCTTTTCAGGGTGACCAAGCAAGAACATCTGAGCTCTCTTCATTTTTGGATATTTTTTTTTTTGCTTTCTGATGACTCTAATTTGAATTCCTATGAACAGACATTGATTTGTCCTGAGACTGAGCTTCTAGCCATGTTGTTACAATCTGTCTAATGTCCTTTTTAATTTCCCTCATTCCAAGAAGGACTGAAGGCATATACAGGTCATTTCTTTTGCATCTAGTTATAGAAGTTGAGAAGTTATTTCTTGGAGTTTCTGTTGACACAGCTGTGAAGCTAAAAGTGTCTGTGTAAGTTGTTCACCTAAGTGTAAAGTCATCCAAATTTGGTTTAAGATGCTTTAAGCTGACTCCACTGATTTTGTACTGAAACAGCCTAGGAGTGTTCATATGAGAATTCCACTTCTCGGACAGTAAGTTAGAGTAAACTCCAACTATGTGACAGAAAATTGCTGGGGCAATAACAGTTTAAGCCACTCTCACTTAGATCCATAAAAGAATCCCAAAATGTACCTTCATGGACCTTCTTCACATGACAGATGGAGCTAACTCAGACCAGATTACAGTTGATGGTTTTATTTCTATGTTTAGTTAACACAGCAAACAATATTTGTCTCTTGATAAGACAGAGAAAATTTGGGGTCTTTCTTTTCTCCCGAAAGTCAGGAAAAGAAATTACTGCAGAGTAGCAAAATTGTTTCCCTTCTTCTAATTTAGCTATGCATTTCAAACTCTGTTGATGATGTTATTATTTTATACCTTTATCCTTTTTTGTTTTAAAATCGTCATTTAAAATTAATGCCGTCCATGCCAGTAAAGCCTAGGGGTCAAATCCAGTTTATTTTCATCAGTATGAGAAGGAGAAAGAAAGGAGGTGCTGATCTCTTCTTCGTGCTATCCAGTGGCAGGACTTGTGGTAATAGTTCAGAGCTGTGTCAGGGGAGGTTCAGACTTGATATTATTTCTATTATTTCTTTTCCAAGACGGTGGTCTAACACTGGAACAGACTTCCTAGAGAGGTGATAGATGTCCCATGCCTGACAGTGTTTAAGAAGCACATGGACAATGCCCTTAACAGCATGATTTAACTTTTGGTCAGCCCTGAAGTGCTCAGGTAGTTGGACTAGATCATTGCTGTCAGTCCCATCTGACTAAACTGTTCTTTCTATTCTGTTCTAGTATCTGAAGTTCAGTCTAAAGGTGATATCTTCAGTGTAACATGGCATTCTTTCTTTAATTTACTCCAGGTTTTAATACTGTCTATTTATTAATTTTATGCCTCTTTAAGAAGTTATATCAAGATGAATCATAGCAATGCCATTTATGAGAATTCCTTATTCAGTGTTTCAAAAAATGAAATTATGTACCCTGTATGTGTCAATCTGCATGATAACATCTGGTCTTGTATACTGATTTCTTCCTATATAGAAAATTGTGTTGCAAATGCTGTTTTCAATAACTATCTAAGCTGCTTTTCATAAAATAGTCAAGCATATTTTTTTCATGTCCTTAGGAAGTGACATAGTAGCGACTTTACCAGCTGTACATTCACATTGTAAATACTCTATTAGTATTCCACAACAAAGCTGGCAACCCATGTGTTTTTGGCTTTTGTTTTGAGCACTGCTATCTGCTTATCATCACTAAGTCTGGACCGCACAAAGTGTTTTCCAGACATTTTTTCCCCTTCATTATTCTTTTAAATACTCTGGATATTTTGACTTATAATTTATTCTATGAGTTGGGGAGTATTACTTGTCTCCCTGCCTTTTTGGACAAATGTTCTTCTAAGGAGTAACAGGTGTCAAGTCTCCCTGGATCTTCTTCATGACCAGACTGTCATCAAGATATTTTTAAATGAAAGTTGCATGGTAAGAAGTCTAATTAAGAGTTTGTTGAAATCCCAGCATGAAATACAACACACCATTGTTTCAATTAGAAACCAAGTTAACATCTTCCAGCTGCCTTTTTTTTTTTTTTCCTTAACTTAAAGGAGTTTATGTATAAAACTTGTTAAGAAGCTATTCTAGTTGGATTTTAAACAGTGTAGATCTGTTTCCCTCATGGCTATGCTTAAGATGTGGATTTCTTATTGAAGGAAAACTCCACTACTTAGCCCATTGTTCGTAGCTATCTCTTTTAAAACACCATATGCTGGGAGTTTACAAAGGACACAAATAGATGGGAGGTTTAATTGGAGGCAAAAGAATTCTCCATGTTTTTTCAGTACACAACCAGAAACATAAAATGCTTTGTGTAAAGTAGCAAGGATTCACTCTCAGTGTGACTTCTCTCTTTAATAATTGTAAGAATACCTTACTATGCAAATAACTTCTTTTATTCCCCCAAGCTGTTCAGGCAGATCCTGACAAAGGGGCAATCTAGCATTGGTAAAGGTGGCAAATATGGGTCTTTGTAAAGAATCTGCGTACTTTCTAAGAATTTCAGCATTAAGGCCCAGTTTTATCGACGTTTTATTTAAAAAAAAAAAAAAAAAAGGTTTTCCCAGGTTTTGTATCTTGGCTTTTAGAAATAAGATTTTATATTTCTGCTGTTATTCAAACAGCTGTTCCCAAGTCCTGTTTTGAGAAAACTTCCTTTTAAAAAGCCTATTCCTCATGAAAAATAAAATGACTGGGTGAGTCAGAAAAACAGATATATTTGAATCCCAAAAATGCATATCGGCATTTGATTTAAAGTGGCACATGTCTGAGAGCAAGGATTTTGACATCTGTTATTTTTATGTTTGGATTTGTAACACATGTTTTCTTAAAGCAGAAATAGGGAGCTTTCTCCTTATCTTTGGTCCCTCTGAAGCTTTGACTACATCACCTTTTCCTACATTTTCAAAGATACATACCTGTTCTAAAGATACTGGTATCAGTTTATGCCCTTATTCCAGCCCTACTGTGTGTTTCTTCATAGTGTGTTTCATTCTGCTTCCTCATTTTTCCTTGATTGGAAGTGAAAGGACAGCGTGATCCGTACCAGAATAAAGCAGGAACAGACAATGCTGTATCAGAGTGCTACTGCAGGAATAATCCAGCCAGTGTTAAGGAAGAATTGGAAAGAAACTATTCCTCCAATGCACTAGCTTGTGGTGCTCTGAGAAGCTGCCACTACCATATATCCTGTACCTGATGGGATGCAAATATGTTGGCTGACACATTTCTGCATATCTGGATATGTAGCACTGGGAACTGCTGCTCCCACTTGTCCAGAGTGAGATATCATAGAACCACAGAATGGTTTGGGTTGGAAGGCACCTTTAAAGATCATTTAGTTGCTGAAAGCCCTGTCCAACCTGACTTTGAACACTTCCAGTGTAGCCCATGCTGCTAGAAAGGCTGGGCCACCATGGTTTTTATCTGGTGAGGATATAGGGTGTGTTTAGGAAGTCTATGATCTCTCTGCAGCCATAGCCGCATCATACAGACATATATCACACTAGTTCAGCTAACAATTAATAACTGTCATGAACTCATCCAATGTGACCTGTGTGAATGGGAAGCACATAGCACTTCCAGACTGCTGGTTTGCCTCACAGTTAATCTGTTATTTAAGTAAACCCATAGATAAATAATATCAGCTCAGTTTCTTTCACTGTTTTACATCGTGTAACAGAGATGCCATGTAGCTGTTCATGGGAAGCAGGAGAGTCTTGATCTGTCCTGATGCCATGCAATGAAGAGACTCGAGTGTTTTCAATCACAAAGGACAGAAGCTGAGGAGAGCAGCAGTCTGTGTTTTCCTACACAAATCCAAATCTGTCCACAGAGAATAATCGATGACCTATTTTAAGATCATCATTCCTGGTGCTGAAAAAAATGTATCTTATATATGTGCTAAATAACGCACTTTAAATAAATAATCTGTTTGAAGTCCAGAATTTTAAGACTGTTTTTACAAGACAAAGGCGACACGTCCCCAGTGCTGCTAGGCATCCAAAGATGCTTCCTCTAAAACCATGTAGGTGAGTTCATGTATTTCCAGTCTGTAAAATGTGCTTCTTTTAGGGGGGGAAAAAAACCCAAACAAAAACCACAAAACCGTGCAGCGTAGTCAGTTTGCATTGGCCTCAGAATAAGGGAAAGGTTTCTCCAAGAAATTAACAACTTTGATATACCCAATGTTTATGTGTGTTATATTCTATATATTTCTGCTTGAAATCTCAAGCTACGACAGTGTTTTTGTAAAAGTTCACTGCTCTTGTGCATGAAGGGCACAGATTTTATTCCTAGAGTGTCCTCTAGTGGTGTCAAGGCCACTTGTGTTAGTGATGGGTTTAATTTCTTCAGTCTTTTTATGTCAAGGGAAAAAAGATCAAAAATGTTTTGCATTAAGGTTTTGTTTTTGCAATACTAATACTGACAGGAAGCTGGTAAGGTTGTGCTTGTTAAAAAGGATGATAATTTTTCACTGTTACTGGGAAAAAGATATAAAGAGCAAAACTGGCTGAAAATTGAGAACCAGTGGCTCTTTGCCTTTTTTAAAATAAGAGTTTTACTCTGACCATGTTAAAGATATGTTTGAATTTGCTTTGTGCAATTACTGTAACATGTGAGGTAGTTTTGGAAATATTTACCAAATCAGTTTTTAAGCAAATGCTTGAAATACTGATGGACAGTTAATTTTGAAAACATGTGTAAGTAGCTATATAAGATAATAAGTAGATTAAATGATCTTTATAGCTTGCTTTTACTGCAGGCTGTTTAAGTCATTGTAGTTATTACAGATTTGTCTTG